CGTAGTAGTACTTAAAGTTTTATTTATAACGTAGTAAAACTTAAGACTAGGTAAACTGTACTTTAAGTTTTATTTATAACTAGGAAAACTTAAGCTCTAGAGTCTTAAGTTTTTATTTATAACTGGAAAACTTATGCTGGAAAACTGCTTAAGTTTTATCTATAACTGAAAAACATAAGCTGGAAAACTGCTTAAGTTTTTATTCTATAACTAGAAAACTTAAACTCTAGAGCTTATGTTTTTATTTTATAACTGGAAAACTTATGCTGGAAAACTGCTTAAGTTTTTATTCTATAACTGGAAAACATAAGCTGGAAAACTGCTTAAGTTTTTATTCTATAACTAGAAAACTTAAACTCTAGAGCTTAAGTTTTTATTTTATAACTGGAAAACTTAAGCGGGAAAACTGCTTAAGTTTTTATTTTATAACTGGAAAACTTAAGCTCTAGAGCTTAAGTTTTTATTTTATAACTGGAAAACTTAAGCTCTAGAGCTTAAGTTTTCCGGTTACAAAGACAAAAACTTCAGCTGAAGTTTTCCAGTACAAAAGAAAAACTTCAGCCCCGTGGGCTGAAGTTATGTGAAAAAGCGGGTACGTTTGCAATTTTTTTTGCAAAGCGGGCACAAGTTAAAATGTGGCACAAAAAACGGGTATAGATGCAAATGCCCCCATATTATCTATTTAGAAAATGGTTAACCAATGGGTAACCAATGAGTCTAACTTTTACATTTGTAAAGCCTCAAACTGGGGTTCCTCAAGTTAGAGAGACTAAGAATTCTCCCAAAAGTGATAATATGCAAGAAGTCATGGATAATATGGTTACCCATATTATCCGCCGGTTAACCCATTTTTTATCCGTATTAAATGGGTCGGGACGGATAATTTATTCATTTTTTTATCACCCGTTTTCGACACGAACCATATCTGACCCGACCTGCCCATTTGCCATTCCCAATATAATGCATGCCTTATCAAGATAAAAGTCGCAAAGTAAATTTCTCAATGATATACAACAACGTGTCCTTCAAGTAACTATCTATTAGCTGTGTCTCGTCGCCCTATATTTGAGCTAAATTGGAGGAGGAAGAGGTGTTTGTTACTGAATTGCAAGAATTACCAAGAATTCGAGGATTCAGCAGCTGATCAAGAGCTTAGCAGTGAAGCTCGAGAGGACAGCTAGTTTTGAGAAGAGAATCTGTGAAGAAGGAAGAAGGAAGAAGGACGAAGAAGAGTAGAGTAGAGTAGAAAGTTTAATCTCATTATTATGAAAATGTAATCTCTGTAATACAATGATTTATGTGGAATGAAATGCTAATTGACTTTACAATTTATACACTGTTACTAACTAACTGATTCTTAACTAACTTTTTAACAACTTGTAACGACTCTGACTAACTGTGAGCTGACGTGGCTTGCCTCTAACTAACTTTGAACTGTCATGGCTTTGCTCATTTGAATTCATGTATCAGTACTCCCTCCTGCAAAGGATCCTTGACCACAAGGATCAAAATTTGGGAACCTGGTGAGTAGAGTAGTATAGAACTCCTAGGTAGCATTGTCAGCAGGTAAGCCTTCCCATTTAACCAAGACTTGGGCCACAACCTTGTTTCCTTTTTTGGCCATCCTCCTCTGCAATATCAACTCTGGATTGGGACAATGTGGATTTGCAATATCAATGACTGGAGGGTAGGATACATGGTCTGGCACTGCATAGCATTTCTTTAGTAAGGATACATGTACTGTAGTATGTACCTCGACAGAAGCAGGTAATAGGAGAGTATAGGCCACTGGTCCCACCTTCTTAATAATTTGGAATGGTCCATAATATTTTGCAGCAATTTTGTGGTGAGGCTGTGCTGAAATAGTGACTTGTTTGTACGGTTGAGCCTTGAAATAAACCCAATCTCCCATCGCAAAGTTCCTGTCACTCCTGTGGGAGTCAGTTTGTTGCTTCATTCTGAGTTGGGCTCTCATCAAGTGATGTTTGATCAACTGCAGCTTCACCTCTATGTTAAGTAGTGCGTTGTCTACTTCAGCAGAAGAGGATTCTCCTGGTAAAATAAAGAAGGTGCAATGGAGGTGGTCTGCCATATAGGGCCTCATAGGGAGTAGTTTGGATGGCAGAGTGATGAGAGGTGTTATACCACTATCCAGCCATAGGTAGACAAGAATGCCACCCATTAGCATCATCAGAACAAAATCATCTCAAGTAGGTCTCCAAGCATCTGTTTAGTACCTCAGTCTGGCCATCAGACTGTGGATGATAAGCTAAAGAAGTATTGAGTTATACCCCTTGTAAAGATAGCAACTCTTGCAAAATGAGCTTAAGAACACTGCTTCTCTGTCGCTTGTAATGTTATCAGGTAATCCATGTAACCTAACAATGGTATCCAAGAATACCTTGGCTACACTTTGGGCAGAATAGGGATGCTTTAAGGGTATAAAATTCCCATATTTGCTTAATCTATCGGCCACTACCAATATGACCTCAAAGCCATGAGACTTAGGAAGGCCATCAATAAATTCCATGCTAATTTGAGACCAAACCACATATGGAATTGGAAGTGGTTGTAGCAAACTAAGATATGCAGCAAGATCTAATTTGTTTCTTTGACATACATCACAGTTCTGCACAAAGATCTTCACATCTTTTCTGATTCCTTTCCAGTAAAATATTGTCAGTAGTCTCTTTAATGTAGCCTCAACTCCTGAATGGCCTCCTTGGGGTGTAGAATGCCATAAGTTCATGATGGTTTGCCTTAGCTGCAGAATCTTACCAACTATCAATCTTCCCTTCCTTCTTAGCTAGTTGTTACTCAAAGTGAATTGAGAGTGAGATGTTGGATTATCTTGCAATTATTCAATTAAGGTATTTAACTCATTATCTGTTTCCCAACTTTCAACTATAGCATGCAGTAAGTCAGAGTTAGTGATAGAAATAACCAATGACATAAGCTCAGCACCATGAATCCTAGATAGTGCATCAACCACTTTATTTTTCACTCCTTTCTTGTATTCAATGGTGTAGTCAAATGGCATTAGCTTAGTTAGCCACATCAACTGTGAATTAGTGTGAAGCTTCTGTTCCATTAAAAACTTCAAAGCTCTTTAATCAGTTATAATAATGAATTTCTGGCCAAGATTTGGTAACTACATGCACTATAGCTAGTAATTCCCTGTCATACACTGAAAGAGCAGCATGCCTGGGAGATAAGGCCCTGCTAATGAATGCAATAGGATGTCCTTGCTGCATGAGTACAACCCCTATACCATAGCCACTAGTATTAGTTTCCAAAACAAAAGTCTTGCTCATATCAGGAAGAGCTAAGACTGATGCTTTAGACAATGCCTCCCTGAGTTGTTCAAATGCATGTGAAGCTCCTGGAGACCATTTGAAGTTATATTTTTTCAAAAGATCTGTCAAAGTTTTGCTAATAATGCCAAAACCTTGGATAATCTCCTGTAATAGCCGGCCAATCCCAGCAATCTTCTTAATTGCTTAAGAGTGGTAGGTGTAGGTCTTTTCTGCACAGCTGCTATTTTTTGAGGGTCTGTGGACACCCCTTCTTCAGTAATCACTACAAAACAAACTGTAATTAGCTACGAACGTCGTCGCTAATCTGTCGCTTAATCGCCTCTGTTTAGCTATAGAATTTGGCCATCGCTAAAACCAATTTTTTTTAGTAG